AGTGGTTAACAAATCCCCTATAATTTTGAAAGTTTGCTAAGTAGAGTAATCTGGACCTGCAGGAATAACAGATAGGCAGAAGGGAGAAATACACTGAAGGGAATAAAATTCGTTTATCTAAATGTATTAAACACTTTTTATACAGCTGACTTACATTTAATATTCACCAGCCGGAATATGATTTGATAAGGCATCAAGGATATGCTACCGTTTATCTCCACCTCTACGTGTACATACTTTTTCACGTGCTCCTGTGGAGCTTAGCACATTGGACGTTATAAGCGTGTTCTCCGGAAACGAGTAGCTGAACACTACTCGGTTTGGTTAGTGAAACGTGGGTATAGAACGACGAAGTCTCCAATTTGTGAACACATTCGGGAGTCATGTTAATCAGCCCCACGCGATTTATCCTTCAAAGTTATTTACAGAACCAAATCCAACCACTCCAAAAGCTTACGTTTTCTTCACTCATGCATAGGCGAAGCTCTAGCTATACATGATCAGGAACCTAAATTATGTGTTCAAAAACGTTTTGTTAGACCCCTTTCTTTACCTCGGTCATAGTTAGGTTCTTTTATTTCATTTTTATTTTACCACGTGAATTCATTCCATTTCACTTCATTTTCGCCATCTTTACTGTTATCATCATCGTACTCTCAATTTTTTAGACAACTCTTGACCTACAATTTTTAAATCTTTATGCCAGTTCACTTGTTTAATAGTCTTTAAAAGTTTTGTAATTCATCCACTTCGGTTCTATCTCTTAAACATCATCTTAATTATCTATATCTTATCTTATGTATATTGGCTGAGCAATTCATAGTGTTACTTATTGCCTTTTTGCGTAATTCAGTCGTTACGTGCCTGCTTCGAACTTTTGCCAACTCAAGCTTCTTGGTTTGAATTTTAATTATCACCTGTTATCATAGTCTGACGAAAGTATGTCTAGCAGAGTTTCGGGTAATAAGAATTGTGAAGTTGTTTAAGAATTCGATAAGCACACTACAATCAGATGTGAATAAACTGAAATCTTAAGCAATTCAAGGTAAGAGACTATCTCAGAATGTTCTGGCATAACATTAATATTTAACTTTGAATAATTTAAATTACAAACTTCAGACTACAATGTGTTTCTATGCCTTTCACAACATTAATCAATGAAACTGCTTGTTTCTTAGCAAAAAGTAGACTGAGGTTGTACAACTAACTAGAATTCAATAAATAAAAAGTGACTACGTCAAGCAGTTATACAAAATCATTAATTGAATAGAGTCAACACAGACGCATGAAAGCATAAGAATAATGCCACTCATTAATAAGTAGCACATGAGAACAAGAGCAGAAATGGCACAAAAAGTTGGGGACTAATGATTTAATGCTATTTAAGCTATCCAGCACTCCCAGGTATTCCAATGGTTCTCTAACCGATGTCAGCTCGTGATGAAAATTAAGAAGCCTGTTTCATTGTTAAATAAGTCTGGAGTAAAAGCACTCCAAATAATTCATGACTCCACTGGTTTACTCCCTGTTGAACAAATCAGTAGGTAGTGGCGACATTTTACGTTGAAAACAGCTTGAAAAAGAAAGAGGATGATCGTTTATTGAACAGTAATGTGGAAAGGCACAAAGTATACAACTACAAAATCGATTCTTATATATCTCAAAACATATCAGACGAGATGTAAAATCATACTGTATAACAAGTGTGGAGTAAATAATACATAGGCACTACCAAGCAATTTAGTTTTTATCACTGTAAGATGGTAAGTGAATCTCTTCCTCTCTTTTGTGGTTCTCCGTGATGCCACAGTTATTATTGTTAAACCATTAGATGATATTATGATGGTGTTCATTCCAAGTTAGATCACGAGCTGACACCAGCTAAAGAATCGCTGAAAATCGATGAGTATTAGTCGGTTGTTTCCTCTTGGTTTGGGTTCTTCAGCGGTATGCGCCCATGACCCCATCGCTTATTGAACCTACGGACTTTTATGCCAAATAGCGTCCCCACCGTGTAATATCATCTACGGATATTTTTTCATATACCTGACTCCAGTGTTCACGACTTCTCACTGGATTCCAAGGGTCCTATCCTGTAGTCACTAGTTAGTGAGCATCAGGTCACTATCGTGAACTGGTAGAAGATAGAATCCATGGGCAGTTGTATTTCGCCCAACCGAGGTCTTGGGTTCGATACACAGTGGGATCATAGATGTATATAACTGAGCAGTAACAGACTACGACGAAATGGGTGTCTGGTGCTCCCTGATTTTCACTGATCTCCTACGTGATTTCAGCTCGTGACCTAATTCGAAAAACAGTATTTAGTTGTTGGAGGGGAGTGGTTCTAAAATATTTATATCAGTCATGAGTATATATCACCTCGCAGATTTTCCATCTCGATCAGCGGTCTTTAATTTTTTAGATGATCAATGTCTCCATCATGTCAGAAAATGCCATAAACTTCTTAGACCCTTAAATCGATGGCTGTTTGTGCGCGATGCTTTTTATTTGATCAAGGAGCACGCCTTATCCCTCAGTTGCTTGTGAAATTGTTTTCCGGGTCGTACACACGTGAAGCTAGTGAAACGACAGAAGACGCAGGTTTCACATGCTTGTAATCAAATTACTTTACAAATGGCTTCATTACTGTTATGTATGTGAATATTAGGACCTTGTAGACTACGAGCGAATCTAACTAATGCGCTGGCTAATCTGTCTTAATCGCACGTCGACAACAACAACAATAATACCGCCGGGCACGCAAGACAAATAAAAGAGAAGACTGGACGTTGATATGAGAGCTTTTACTGTCTCAAACAACAGTCGAAAATGTTAAACAACAACTCCGTATTTATACAATTAGAAAAATCAATGTCACATTTTAAAAATATTAACGACCTTGGGAATTCAGTAATTTAAATCAATAATCACGCAGATGCGTGAAATCAATGATTATGCTAGTGTGTGAAATAAATAATGAATATTAATGATTCACCTGCGTATATATTAATTACAGTCAACAGTAATGCATATTTGTTTAACTTTTGTTGGCAGACATAATGAATACGTCCGAGGTAACGGTCTTTTATTAGTCTTCCATTATGTAATTTAGCTCTGCATGCATCATAAGTGAAGGATACTTGTGTGCTAACTTCACTTTACTTAGAAGATAATTCAAGGCATAACTTACTCTTATTTCTAGCTGATTATGCTTGTCATACGAAAAGTTTATAGTTGGGTATATGGTATACTGAGGTAATTTATCTAGGATGGTGTCCACTTAGATCAGTTGATGAGAAAATCATGTCTGACATTCTGAGAAGTATAATAATCCACACGGGAGCAGTATTTAAATCTGATGAATCAGATTTGTCAGTCAGAAAAGACAAAGTGCTAACAGATCCCATTTTCAAGTTAGTATGAATTTATGGTCTGTCGCATTTGGAACCATGAAGAGTAAAAGCAATTAAAACAATCAGATGTGCACAAATATAAGTTAGTCACATGTTCTAAGACTTTAGGGAATGACGAAACGCAGCTTTCTGGGAGTAATTTTAGTGTACGATTTATTCAATTGTAAATATGATATGTAAGCAGGAGCCGATTTAAAAAAATACTTCAACGATGACTAATCCGACTACAGATGTCAAATGCTTGCTAACTTGGGTTACTCTAACCAATAACATGTAAGATAATAGCATGGTTCTCTAATTGATGTCAGCTCATGAGGAAATCCTCCAACCCATCAAACAAAAAATTCCTACAAAACGAATACTTGAAAATTAACCTGATGCTCACTGGCAACTGGCCCTATTCAGGCAGTGACCTGGCGCTCCAGTGGGAAGTCGTAACCAATAGGGTGCAGTAATTTGAAGGTGAGGCAGTAACTCATACAAGAAGATACTGCGAAGTCGTCGCGTCATGTCATGAGTTGGTAGAAGTTGGAATTCATGGGCTAGCCATTGGATTGGGTCCCAGTGGCTTAATGGTCTACAAACTCTCTAGCCTTGTAAACAGAAGGTCGTGGGTTCGAACCTTGGCGGTGAGTGTGTACTCCTGAAGAGTCCCAAACTGGGCTGACAAAACAGCTGTCTAGTACTCTCTGCAGATTTTCCAATGGTCCTCTAAGTGATGTCAGCTCATGAAAAGATCCTCCAACCGATAACATGAAAAGCAGAAAACAAGTGGAATGGATAGTGGAAAAGTGTTAATTTTGTAATGTTAAATGTCAAATGCTTGCAAAGAAAGGAATGTGATATTAGCGCACAGAACATTTTTCAGAGATTTTTAAGTGAAGCTACATGGATGATAAAACATTTCCCACATGACTAGCCTTTACATTTTTTGATCAAATAAACGTGATTTGTCTTACTGATTTTAAGAGAAATGTAGCGAGTACATGAATCTCATTTCAGGGAAACATTCTCCACAAAGCCTTACTTTTATTTACATTTCTTTCCTTTCTGTTTCGTACGTCTCTTGACATAGAATTATTTATCTTACTCTTTTAATCAGTTTGCAAATGCTGTTGCGTCTCATCCCCAAATGAATTTCAACATTAGATGTCAAACTAAATATTATGAAGAAAACTAAAAGCTTCTTTAGAACATTAGAGAAAACAAATTAAACCAAACTATGCGTTGTTTGTGGATCTGTACATTGTTCTGGAAGTTTAGTGGATTGTTTCACCTATTCGACTAGCAGAAATAGTTTTAAAAAATGCATAATTTTTTACCTTTTGAAATCAATAAGGATAAGGGAAGCATTTGTCGAAGAATCAAAGAAATTAAGGTAGAAACTTTGGTCGTTATAGAATAGCTGTTTTAGAGAGCCATAACTACTAAAAGTACTATAAATATGTTTATTGCTCTTACTTTGCTAATGCATAATCACTTTATTAAAATATCATGACTTAACATCAATCGATTAAATTCTAATCGATATATATATATTATTCAAAAACGTTAATCTTAGTCATTTCATAACATCTATTACAAATGGATACAGATAATTTGTAGGTAAAATTTGATTTTTTGATGGACCAATTGATTCTAGGAAAGCTGGTATAGTTAATTGAAAATTCATCAAAATACTAATAAATATCTAATTAAGATTTGGATCAATTTAAAGCCTTGCAAAATAGTGGACTACTTGACTCATTGTATGCCTCGTTAACGTTGAAGGAAAGAGCTAAAAATTTATACAAGAGGTAATTCGAATCGTTAACAATTTTCAAAGTTAACTAAAGTTTCTGCCTTGTCAATTATATTTTATTCATTCTATGTCACTTTTATTATTATTACTATTGTCGCCATCACTTTTTCGGCACATTACTAATCAAAGTGTACAGTTAGTTTTCATATACTTTTGCTTATATGTGTATAAGTGTTGTGCTTAGCCATAAATCATTTGAATAAAAAACCGGAAAAGTTGCATCGAAAATTAGTTCCACATAAATTGTATGGAGGTAATTTGCAGCTGAATCCATACTCCTCATTTTATCCTGTTTGGCATTTACCAACCAGACTGGTGTGTCTCCAAGTTACTGTTTTGCATGGACTGCGACCTAACTCTCACTATCTTTTATGATGAAGTGGTACCCATTTGACCATGACTTCTTTAAAAGACTTGGTATTTTACTTGTTTCCACGGTGATTTCACTCTGTTGATTTGACTGTAATAAAATATTTGATTTCCTTCGGGATATTGTGTTCTTGTTACTAATTTGGACCTAGTTTCGGTGTTCTCATGTTTTAACACGTCTTGAATTAGATTGCTAGCCAATGATAAATAAGGAATATCAATAGTGAATTAATGTAAATAAGCTATATGCTGGAGATGAGAGAGACTAGTTTCGAAAAAGTATCAATCACTTTATCAAATTTCCAGTTCAATTAGGTGAAACTCTTTTTGTACAAGGACTAGGAGTTATGAACTACTGAAATTAATTAACCATCTGCACTACCCAGACTGTATGTGTATGTGGTGCACTTAGATATATATATATAAAAACATTGAGTGAAAGATTATGCCAAAGTATTTACAATTCCCGTCATTCGTCACTCTCAAGTTGGTCCAAACAGATTGATGGATATAACCTTGATGTCATAAAACTGACAGTTGTTTTTGTTCAAACATAATGAATTGGGGTTAGATAAACCCTGTTCAGATTCTGAACAGAGTGGTTATGATATTGTGTGATGCATGCGTAAGGTTTGCAGTTTCTTCCTCACATTGTAAGCCAGTCTTTGATGTTCTATGCAACATTTTCATCACGACATTTTTCACAAGCACATAAGAGACAAATTTGTCTGAACAGGCATTAATCGTGATGTATAGGAATGGATTCTCTCTAGTGTACAGTGACGTCTATCTGAAGTGTATTAAAATTATTTGCTTACTTCCTTAGATTTTTGCCACTTGCACTACATGTTCTACCCATGTTCACAGGGAAATTATTCTCGTTTGTGTGGATGTGTTCATTTGGTGGCATCAACAACCCTGTATTACATGCTGCCACCGAAAACTTTACTCGATTTTTCATGAAAACACGGATAATCCAGGATGGATGACTTCCTACTGGGATAGCAGGCAAAGAAAATAACTAGAATCTGTTACTTTTTTAACCTTTTTGGATGCAATGGAATGAAGACATATTGAAAACAATTTATATTAGGCAACTTAAATGAACTTTTAAGATATTTCGACCATCCTTTAATGGCATTGTTACTGGCAGCGGACAATGGGGAAGAGAACAAATCACTAGTGGTCCTTCTACTAAGCACTCAACTACCCTTAAGTGGATATGCAGTGTAATTGAGCGGAGTTGTTTTATGTTATCGCACTTTGTATTCTTGATTGGTTAGCTGCTTTGGATTTCAGTCAAACTAATCTCTTTGGTATCTGTAGTTATGCGCAGAACTTGACTATCCATATGCGCCTGTTTCAACCGTCCTGCAATCGTACACTCAGTACACATGCATCTCTCTGTGTTATGATGCTATCCATCATTACTTACAGGCACCCTACTATAAAACCTTCAAGGTTATCGACCACAAAGGCAGTTTCTTCGTCATCGATAATTTGATTCTTACTCATTTGACAACAACCATAAACCTATGATCTCTGACTAAGAGAAGACGCAATTAAACACAAATGTCCAGGGACTTTTGAAAATGATAGAACTGTTATGAGGAAACAAAACAGGTATGTGCAAAACTTTATACTATCTTGAAAGGATGGCAGAATTCATCACTTAGTCTCTTGCGACATGCTTTATTATGCCGGTTGATTCGTTATGCACATAAATGTCACTATTGTGAGTGACGGCTATATGGTAATTAGCCGCCAGTAAACACCCGCCTTCTGAAAAAACAGAAAGCGTGAAGGTCACGAAGTTGTTAATAGCTGAGAAATAGGTAGGACCATATAGGATAAATCCAGAAGCACTGCAAATAAACCGAGAGACCTTAGTGAGCATACTCAAGCTACTAAGGAAGATGATGTAGAAGGTAGAGGAAGTGTCTGCGGTTATGAAAAGTGGCTACCGTGTTAAACTGCCAGAGAATAGACTTGCGTCTACGTAATAACTGGGGGACATCGTGCCCTTATTCACCCCAAGCAGAATACTAGGCCACATCATTCTGAAAAGATTAAAATAAACACTGGGTTGGAAACTTCATCGGATACAGGCTGGGTTCAGGAAAAATAAGTGACACGTGGGTCAAGTAGCAACTTGATACACCACCATCAAAAAGAGACCAGAACCGCAATCAGCTCTTTACCTCGAATTCACCTACTTCGGAAAGGCCAATGATAGCTTAGAGAGTGAGGTAATTTGGGAAGTGCTTCAATACTGTGGAGTGCAGCGCCGCGAACATTCAAGTACCTCATTAACCAGCTATATAGTGATGATAAATGCTGCGTAATTCACAACGGAAAGCTCACCAAAGCGTTTGAAATGAAAACAGAAGTAATAAAGGGCCCCTTGATATTACCAGTGATCTTTCTCATTGTAGTGGACCGAATCATGCATGAGTGAAGACATGGCTATGCGTCAGAGTCACAAAAAAGACTAGAAGATTTTTATTTAGTTAATGATTGATATTAATGAAAACCAAGCTAGTAGTTTTGCGAAGAGGCCCTTTTTGGCTCTGAAAACAGTGTGGAAATCTACAGCACTTAAAACGTGTAAGGACAAGGAATTTTCAAAACTAATGTCAAGTTGGTCAGTGCTTCTCTGTGATAGAGAGGCTTAACGTGCATCACCGAAAGCACTTCCTTCAGGTTGCTGCATACTTTCATCAGCACCTGCCTCTGGCGTCTCAACACTAAAATCTGATGGCCGCACGGAAAGGATAAGTAGCAAGGGACCTCTGCAGGCAAAGAGCCAGAGTGGATTTTATTACCCGACAAATATGCAGATGGAGATGTAGATTGATTGGACATACTTTAGGGAGACCTCTGAGTCACATCACACTCCAGGTCTTCAACTGTAATCCAAATGGGAAGTAATGACATGGGCTTCCGAGGGTCACACAGAGAAGTTTAAATGAAAAGGATGTAAAAATTGTGGGCAATCGTGGTGAAAGCTGAAACTGAAGTCAGATAATGAATTACAATACAGGTGTGCTGTAGATTCTCCATGTCCCATTCCGAACACAAATAACGAATAATAAATAATTTACTAGTGATTAAAAATAAAGTTGAAAAATTGCTTTTTGATGCATATAACAGTGAGACATACTATTTAAGAAGCACTTACTAAAACAAAATATCAGTTTTGAAAAGTTACCTAGTTGATTTTTACACTGTGATTATTTTCCTAGAAAAGTGTTTCATTCAATCGATTCAGTGACATTAAAAATGTTTACTTTTCATTTCAAAGTTTACATCCCATAATACGAAGGCGTGTTCGAGCTCTGAAACGAATTCAGTATGATGGTTTACAGTTAGAAGTTCAATTTTATAAAGAATTAGCTGAATTAGAAAGAAAATACACGAAAAAGTTTGAAAAGTTGTACAGTCAAGTAATTTTCTAAATGTTTAATATTGTTTACCTGACATTCTTTTGATGTACAACTTATGTAAAAAATATCTAATGAATGCTATTTTATTTATTACTACTACAAAGTTTTGACATGATTCAAACAATTAGAAACTTTTGCCTTCTAAATATGAATGTTCAACTCTTCATACATCTGCTAAATTTAATATTCTAACAACACACACTACAGAAGAAGACGATTTCTTTGAAATCATTATCACTGATTTAAATGCTCTTTTAGGCAATTCAAAGGTATTTCAACAAAATGGTCTAAGTTTGTCCGTACGTACATATGCGTGCTGAACTGTACAACAGATGAAACACATGGAGGTGTTTTTGTCTGAGATCTTCTGATTAGCCCTATCAATAAGTATCTACTTACTTCCTTTACAAATTTAGTACTTTTGGTTTTATTCTAGAACACTGACTGAAAATATTTCAATTCTAACACGCTAGTGACATCATATTTAAGAAAAACAGCTCTATTATTTAAAAAGTAAAATTGTTATGTCCATCTCTTCAAAGTCAGTGCTTATATAACACTGTATATTTATTGCATACTACCCAATATGCTAATCCGTAGACTGGTCAATGAGACAAGAGAACATTTTGCAATATTAAATGCCTAATAACAACCTATAACTATTAATTTAACACTAACCATGTTCTATTGTGGTCTACGAATTTCTATCCTGGAGATAGAAAAATGATAGCTGGCATTCAAATCTAACACATTAAAGTTGAAATAGGACCATACTATGCACAAAACTCAACCACCACATCGCAGCTCTTGAGGTATTAATTCATATTTTCTTTTTGAGGAACAAATCAGGCTTTTTGGAAAGTCAGAAGAAGATATCATATAGTAACAATTGCAGTTAAATGTTCCTAGGCAGTTAGAAAAACTGTTGTTTCAATTTTATGAGCAGTTTGGTGTGGTTATCCCACAACTAGGATTTAAGTTAATCTTAAGACAGTTGTCACTTTATAACTAGTATAACTTCTTAGATGTATTTTATTGATAAAAATCTGCTGACAAGGCCTGTAAATGCTTTCAATCATTCAATAAACTGTAAGGCTGCTGATTGAAATAATGAATTATTTAGGTTCATCTTTTAGGGGAGACATGAAGGTCCCCGGGACTGTGAATTCATTGTGTCAATATGAATCATCCCAGTGTTTAATAAAATTCAAAATTTTCGGTCATGGATATTTCACCTCTTACCTGTTTCCTAACTTAATTAGGAGGATAAGGTGACACTACTTACCTTTGCAAACTTCCAAATGTATACAGTAGTATAGAAAAGGTAGGATGTGTATTTCTTTTGTTTATTAAATAATGTAACTTGGCCAAAATACTATTTTAAGTTTATTTTGATAAGGATTACCAGGGCAGTTTTAAAGGTTTTCTTTTCAACCTTTTAAAACACATCGAAGTAAATGGGCATCTCAGGGCTTAATAAAATGGAAGTGGACGTCTTCCGACAGCTTGGTGAGCACTTTATCATTCACACAACATTCCGGGATAATTTGTGTCTTTCAACATATTCACCCCAGCCTTAAAATTCTTTTCCTAATACTCTCAATTAACTATAGGAGTCTTATGTAGAAAGGAATCAGCTGTATAATTTCAATAACTTTCAGATAATATTAAGGGAAATTACGTTTGTTTTGATTGCTATTGCTATTATTTCAATAAATCCTTGTTATTCCCATTTTCGGCTGGTGAGAAACATTTAATATTATAATTTTTATGGAACTGTTTTGACTTTATTGGTTGCTAATAGCTGAGAAAATATTCTTTTCTGTGAATAACAGTCATTGGAAAGATACCCTAGAAGAAACAATTGTACATAAAATAACAGAATTATATGTCATAATATTTGATACTGGAACAAAGAAAAGACCGATGAATGAAAATTTCACTCTTAAATCAACTGACTGGCTAAATTTCATGTCCTTACAAAGGAGTCAAACGCCATAATGAACAAAAATTATTATTATTACATTATTAGTTACTTTAAGTTACTGTGGGAGTGATTTACAGAAATTGATTTTGCATAAATCATAAATTTGTTAAAGTTTATGGACAAAATCGTAAAACGTCAACATTCACACAGTTTTCTGATGCCATTCTACAGGCAGAGATCCAAAATTAGCCTTAAGTATAAGATTGTTGCTATGTTTGCCCTTTGAAAACGGTTGCAGATCGTCAAACAAAAATACAAGTGAGAAACAGTTCACTTTTTCACTGGAAATGAGACAACGTACTTTTAGCGACAATTACTTAGCTTTTTAATTCTTTCTTTTCCGAGCAAAGCATTAAGCTCCAAGCCTTTTCTGTTGTCTTAGGATCTGTTTGCTATTTTACTGGGTGAAGTCCATAGCCTCTCACCCAAACTTTCCTCTTTAGGGAGCTTAATATTGACTACTAGTAAACTAGGCAAGATTTAGAAATGCGTCAGCCGGGAATCAAACCCAGATCACATGTGTTGTTATATTAAATTAAATGATACTATTATTCATGGAGTAGGTTAACCGACCCATTGTGGACAAAATTTTATTTTGAGAAAGTCACACAGTGTTATGCAGTAATATTTCCTAACGACGTTTCGAGCACAATATAGTGCTCATAATCGTATCAAGGTACTCATACAACTTTTTGCTTCGTTTATATACATGAGAAGAAATTGATGAGACATTTGAATAATTTCAATATAAGACTTGCGCGAAACAGAAAGGAAGATACAGCACATTCGGAAACAATATTAGTGTTATCAATAAAATACAATACGATGTGAAATAAGACGAGTGTTATCAGTCAATAAGATGGGAAATAAGGTGTTTTTTAGTCAAACAAATAACTTTTTAGAGTGTTATAATGTGAATTGAAGTAAATTTTAACATTATTTATCATTCCCTGATTTGACTGGTAATAATATCTTCCATATATATGGCACTTGCGTTGAGTCACTTCTATTGCATGTTTTGGGTGTAGACTCAATGAATCAGGATTCAATAATCAATCTCTCTCTCCATCTACATAGATTACTTCTTAGAATCCTAATCCCCTCCCAACCTATTGTGTGGTTGTGTGTTATTGCATGTAGTGCAATTGCTGAGCCTTTTCTAAATTACTCATCTTCTCGGGGTCAACCATTCTTACCTTAGCTAAATTCTTGTGTCCCGACAATCTGATTACACCCGATCTACTAATTTGACCTATATAGTTGGCCTCACAGTCATTGCAAGGTATTTTGTAAATTTTATTATTTGTTTAATTGGGTCCATCGAGTCTTTCAGCCTACAGGGCTTGTCCCTGAGTGAGTTTGTAGATTGAAATGCCACTCGAATTCCTGCCTTATTAAGAATCCTACGTAGGATCTCAGATGTCCCCTCCTTATGTGGTAAAACTGTAGATGCCTTATATATATCTTATATATGTTATCATTATTAGTTTCACCATTATTTTTATTTTGCTTTTGATATTTTCTGATCTTACTAATGAATTTCCTACGACAGTTATTTAACACCAACGCTTCTTCTCTCTGTTTTATTTCATCATTTAGGTCTTTTTTGTACTAATTAGTGCTACCGCTTGGTTTGTTAGACACTTAACTAAGCCTGCCTTTACATAAAAGGAACGGATGGGATGAAATAAAGTCTAAATATCTATTAGAAGGCGTTGGCTTATTATAAACGCCAGTGTGTAGTTTACCTTCTGTTCGTTTGATTTCACAATCTAACATAGCTAATTCTCCTTGTTCATTTTCTGATTAAAATGTGAACTTTATTCCCTCTGCTAGTGAGTCAATATATGTCAAGAAGCTAGAGATATGTTCTGTTTTTAACACTGTGAAAGTGTCATCCACATATCTCCACCAAATTTTTTGAGTAGGATTAAATGTTTTGAGAGCAATATTTTTCCAGCTGTCTATAAAGATATTTGCTACGATAGGGAAATTTAAAGATAGCAGATGTGAGGCATCAATGAATTCCTGAAATAATTTTCTCAATGGGTAGCTCTGTCCTATGACTATGTTCGAGATCATCCGTTAGTTCTCTTTTAACTGCTTTTAAGGACATATTGATTGAAATATTAGTATAAAGACAAGTTATATCAAAACTTACCGTTTTGCCATTATTCTCTAATTGAATGTCAATTAGTTTTTTTCTCATCTCATATGAATTAGTAAACCAAGAGCTTCAACGACATCTAATGGGACATATTATTAGAGCTAAATGTTTTGATAATTCATAGGTAAGCGTTTTTCTGAAATCTAATATTGGTTGTATGAGGTAACATGACTTATGTATTTTTATAATACCATATCTTCTACTAGCATTATTAGTTCTAGGCATTAAATTGAACCATTTAGATTGACCAACTAACAGCTTCATACTCGTCTTATTTCACATCGTATTGTATTTTATTGATAACACTAATATTGTTTCCGAATGTGCTGTATCTTCCTTTCTGTTTCGCGCAAGTCTTATATTGAAATTATTCAAATGTCTCATCAATTTCTTCTCATGTATATAAACGAAGCAAAAAGTTGTATGAGTACCTTGATACGATTATGAGCACTATATTGTGCTCGAAACGTCGTTAGGAAATATTACTGCATAACACTGTGTGACTTTCTCAAAATAAAATTTTGTCCACAATGGAACTATATTCCATCACTGCACCCAACTTTTATCCTCTTGGGTTGTCTGATTAGTATCCTTTAACTATCAGACAATGAATTATTTCTGAATTTGGATCAAATGAGTATAATTAAGGAACAATCAATAAGAAGTATTCTCCTTCGTTTATTTCCACAATTTCAACTATTTTCATCGTTCACTTCTTAAACTGATGCTGTTACGATGCTGTTGTGATTATTTTCAAGATGAACGAAAAGATATGACTGTTTGTTTCAGACAAATACAGTGAAATATATCTTAAAATCTGAAGCATTGGAAGGTCTCTTCTAGCACACGGTTGCTGGTTATCCCTCCAAACAAACTGTGAATCGAAGAGAAACAAATGCTCAGTATCCCTTTATTTTCTAAGTGGTTTTTTTTAACAAATATCAATTTTTTCTTTTTAAGCTACTGTAAGTAGCTGATATTGTCTTTGAGTAAAATACACTCATTTCCTTGGCGCAAATTTGTATTTAAACAAAATCCAATGAACAATCGTTTTACCAAAACTTTGTTCTAATGCCTTTCATTAGCGTCATGCAATTGTATCCGGAACTTATGAGCCCACCATAGAAGAGACAGAATTTTTCCTTAGTCAGGATGACGATGATGACCCAAATATGTCATATAAATCGTCGAAATCAACAAATGAAGGTGATATTCTTGAAGAATCACAAAATGGTATGTTCATATTACGTTATTGTACAAACGTAAGTTGAAGCGATCATAAATGGTCATTAATTGTAGGGTGTATGAAGCATTATCCACATATATGTACTTGCTTCATATTCACTCCATTTATTTTTTCCACATGGTTATATACGTGATTTCATTTAAGAAAGTTTTCAGCTGCTCATATGCATTATGTAGAAACCCTATGTTTCTGATTCACAAGTAATCCTAACCGATATCTCAGAAGGCCAAATGATACTTCTGGGAATGGACCACAGTGGGATGGATGTATTAATGTTTATGTGTCGTTGTTTCTAACCACTCACCTTCAACCGACGTTAATATGCTTTCACACTAGATTCTGTGTTATATATATTTACTTGCTCTTTACTTTTAATTCTGAAAAGTTCAAATGATGCAAATATTTAATTTAAAATTGATGTAAGTGACATTTAGTCTATTTTTACTTATTTCTCTTCCTGTACTAAAAGTCATATTATTTTTATAAAAATTATTATAACAATGATTCAGATAATGTAACTAAAAATGTACCTGTTGGTATACCAGGATTTTGGTTAACAGTACTGAAGCATTCACCACTAATATCAGATCTCATAAGTCAATCAGATTCAGCAGTGTTATATCATTTAATTGACTTACGGTCGATTCCAATTGAAGAAAATGGAAAATCTGTATGTTCACCTCTCAGTAATTACATAATATTTCATTCATATTATTTACACTATTATTATTACTATAGTTATTAGTGTTTTACTTAATCTAGATTGCCAACCGATGAGAGAAAACATCAATTACTTCAAATAAAGCCTTAGATTTCAGGTTACTAAATTAGACATTTATCAAATAAGCTACTAAGCTTTCAAGTGTTGTTTTGTGGAGATTTGAGTGAGTCTAAGGCAGGTTCCATCAGAAACCGCATCATTTAGAGAGCGAATGAAAACAGCCAAAGACTGGGCATCTATTCCGTCCTCGTCTCAGACTCTTCAGGATTTCTGACTCGTAAATTCACCATGGATCAAGGTCAAGACCTTCATGTTTTAAGGGAAGCACGTTATCATACAGCCTTATCTGAAACTTGGAAGAAAATATTACCCAGTTTTTCTCTGTTTCCATTGGTTCTTTAGCTGAAGTCGGTTCGTAAAGAAGTGGGCTTTAAAATGATAAATAAAGCTTGTAAATTGGTCCTAATTTCAATCTATAAGGTTAGAATTTGGATAGTATGTTGAAGCATAATTCATTCATAGAATAGATGTATTATGTAATATTATTTATTGATGGAATTCCGAATACAATTTATGGCCCATAATCATGTCAGGGTGCTCCGATTTGGTTTATATCGTTCCATTGTTTCTTACGCTTTGATTTTATTGGTAATGACATTTTCCATATCTCCAGTATTGGTAATGAAAGAAAAACTCAGAAATCACCACGCATATACTAACTCAAAATCACAAAATAGAGTGGGACAGAGCTACGGTTTGAAAAGTGAATATAATTGGATGGAGATGAGGTTAACCAGTTATTAAGGAAAACCACTTTAAAACTGACCATTTCCTCACAAATTGGTCATCTTAAAGTTAGTTTCCAATCCCCTACAGATATTATGCTAATTTCACTAGCATGCTGTTATAAATATCACTCACTCTTTTAAATAAACCTTGATCCACTGAATAGCTCTACGATCATTTGGCAGAGAGTTAAAAGTAGGTATATATTGCTAATTCTAAATGAATTATGATTAAATCTTAGATAGCGCCATTAAACAGTATTGAGATTTCGTTCCAAATAAATTTCTTTCATTGTTAAAATTCGTGAAAATTTTAAAATATAACATATTTACAATATATCTATACTGTAGGGATTTCAGTTAGAGTTTGAATTTGAAACAAATAATTTTTTCACGAACAATATTCTGTATAAACGTTATTTCATGGATTATGACGTTAAAAATGACAATCCATTCAGTTACAATGGACCAGAAGTAAATTATTCAGAAGGGTAAGTATCATTAGGACTTATTCCTTAGAAACTTATCTTCTTAATTCTAAAAGTGCTTAAGTATGTACGTACTATTACAGGTGGTTGAAAGTTATTGTTTTGAAAGATTTTCCTATTCTTAACCAAATAAATGGCACTTTCCAACAGCAAAATTTATTTTACTGACCAAGACTATGAGATAAGTTATCCATTTTTTGATAGCATAAATACAAACAATTACTTTGACCAGACATACCAGATGATTACCCACTGAATTAAGTTTAACGAGAAATTATAGAACTTTATTTCAGTTCAGGATACAACATTTCAAGTAAGCCCATTCGATAAATTTATATGGTATCATAGGGAATAAAAAGACAGTTGCAGCGAAGAAAATTTTCTTTTCGACGAAGTCATCATCTAGGCTGAACATTCGTGTATTTATATCAAATGGATGGAAAAGTTCCAGAACAATTTCTGGTTAGGGGTTGAATTAATAGGAATTAGAATGCCATAATAAACAGGGGGATGGGTAAAACTCAAACAAAGTAGCATAATAACTAAGAAAATTGACATTGTGCAATCGGGGGTTAGAAATGTAAAAATAACAAAATATACAGGATGTTTGGTGAAGAATTCCTATTAATTCAACCCCTAACCAGAAATTGTTCTGGAACTTTTCCATCCATTTGATATAAATACACGAATGTTCAGCCTAGATGATGACTTCGTCGAAAAGAAAATTTTCTTCGCTGCAACTGTCTTTTTATTCCCTATGATCAAATGTGTATATTCCGTGATTTGAAAGCGAGCAAAGACCGTTCGACGGTAAAGGAACTGAACAAGTTTCTACGTTTGTGCGTCAAGCTTGCTGAAGCGAATGCGAAGATTTCCTTCTGAAAAAGCTGTCTGGATAAGCATAAATACCCGAAAGCATTCTGGAAAAATCTGAGACGAAACCATATATCCCCCAATTCAAGCACGCTCAGAAGACACACCCAGAATCACATTGATGCCGTTCGATCCAGATTAACTGAACTGGAACAAAACGTCTCAATGAGCTCCCACGTTCTTTATGATTTAACTGTTGATGAACGGGCGTCATTCGAACACTACGCCAATACAGTCTCAGAGAAGAGAAAGGAAAATATCATCATGAAACTTAAACAAAGCCTAAAATCAGTCACCAAGGAAACAGCTTTCCCATCTTGTCCCGAGAAATATGTATTCAATTTTTCTGATGTCTCACTTTCACCGATTCAAATGCAACTGTTGTCGCTCGGACCAAAATTTTGTGATGCATCATCAAAAGTAAATTAATTGAACACCAAAGTACAATTCGAGAATTTGATTAGTCAAACGAATGATCTAGTCCCAATCTCATATGAAAGTGCAGAACACTTCAAATCAACTGTTTTGAATTGCTGCCTCGACTACATCAACAAAAAACCTAGACTTCGCAATATGCTTTCAAAAGAACATCGAAAGCAACTCAAAGAATTGAAATCAAATGAAAACCTGATAATAGCTCGACCAGACAAAGGTTCTGGAATTGTTCTGCTTAACAAGTCAGACTATGTGAAGAAACTCTCATCAATTCTATCTGATGACAGCGAATTTCAAAAGCAGACGACCCAAAAAGATCCAACTGAACAGACGGAGCTCCAGCTAACCAACTTATTGAAAAAAATGAAAGATGAATCGATTATCAATACAGAACTATGTGAAAAACTTCGCCCATCTGGTTCTACATCGCCACGAATGTATGGACTACCCAAAGTGCACAAGAAGGACGTCCCACTCCGCCCAATATTAGATATGATCAATTCGCCATATCACCTAATCGCGAAGTGGCTGGTAGGAATTCTTGGACCAGTGAAAGAAAAGTTGTCTAGATACAACCTCCGCGACACATTCGACTTCGTGGATTCAATTAAAAATGTCAACCTCGCAAATGAAAAGATGGTCTCCCTAGACGTCGTCTCTCTGTTCACCAATGTCCCTCTGACAGAAACTATATGCTTTCTGTGTGACTTCATCCAATGCAACAGCATAGATGTCGGCATACCGATGCATTATCTAAAGGAGCTGTTACTACGCTGCACCTTCAACGTCTACTTCAGATTCAACAATGAAATCTACAGGCAAACAGATGGCGTAGCAATGGGCTCTCCACTCGGACCACTCCTAGCCGACTGTTTTATGGCCAGCCTCGAAAACAACCCGTTATCATCAACTATCGACGACCTTCATCTCTACAAGAGATACATTGATGATAATTTCATCATTTGTGATGAGAAGCTAGACCTTGAAAACCTACTTCAAATCTTCAACAACGCCCACCCAAACATCGACTTTACACTTGAAACCGAATCCGACGGAATGTTCCACTTCCTGGACGTCCATCTGACAAGAAATGACAGCGACTCTTTGAAAAGGTCCATATACAAAAAGCCTACATGGACTGGACAATTCATCAACTTTCAAAGCTTCGTACCGCTAAGCAGAAAGAGGAACCTGATACACGCTCTTTCCTCGAGGATTCGGAAGATATGCAGCGAGGAAGTGATCGAAGAAGAACTGCGTAATCTCCGAAAAACCCTGATGGAAAACGGTTTCCCGCCCAGGTTCATAGACAAGAATCTCAAACCGAAGAAGACTTCAGAACAAGTCCAATCCGTCCCAAAGAAAATACTTCTGCTCAATCTAGAATTCAAAAGTGATATCGAGGCAGAAATCCTTCGCAAACGCCTCTCCAAATCGCTGAGGAAAACATACTTCGCCGCAAGCCTACCACTGACGTTTTCCTGCAAGAAACTGTTCAACCAGAACGCGAAAGACAAGCTGTCGCATTGGGCCACCTCAACATGCATATACCAGTTCACTTGCTCTTGTGGAGCTGAGTACATCGGCCGTACCATGCGCCAACTTGGAAAACGCGCTCGTGAACACTACCCAGCCTGGCTGGTAAAAGGAGAGCAAAAACGTGTAAACAGTTCAGTGACAGAACATCTGGTCAACTCAGGAGATTTAGCGCCTTTCGAAAAGTCCTTCAAAGTAATATACAAGATTCAATCAAACCTATCAAAGGGAGTGAAATCAAGACATTTGGGCATAGCTGAGGCGTTAGCTATCCAAAAACTCAAACCCACCCTTTGTATCCAAAAGAAATACATTCAACCCCTGTCCCTGCCATGGCCATCGTAAACAGGTAAATTTTTTAATAATGACCATCCCATCGCCTTCCTGTTTATTCATGTTATTTTAAGTTTTCTTAATCCCTGTCTACACTACCATATTTTCATATCCACACTTCCTGTTTATTTTGTCATTTTATTATTTCTACATATTTAATCCCTGATTGCATAAACAATTATTCATCACACTAGTTTCTTATCCAAACATCCTGTATATTTTGTTATTTTTACATTTCTAACCCCCGATTGCACAATGTCAATTTTCTTAGTTATTATGCTACTTTGTTTGAGTTTTACCCATCCCCCTGTTTATTATGGCATTCTAATTCCTATTAATTCAACCCCTAACCAGAAATTGTTCTGGAACTTTTCCATCCATTTGATATAAATACACGAATGTTCAGCCTAGATGATGACTTCGTCGAAAAGAAAATTTTCTTCGCTGCAACTGTCTTTTTATTCCCTATGATCAAATGTGTATATTCCGTTATATGTTATCGTTGATTCACAATTCTTGCTGTGATTTTCTCACAAATAATTATCATTCGCTCTATGCACCGTAAGAAATATCTCTATGATGGGATTACTTCGACTGAATCGGCGATATTTGTAGGTCAGTGTTTATGGCTATTTTGTTCAAATAACAGAATCAAGTGGTGTTATTGATTCCAACAAAAGTAAGCTGGAATATTCTTAGAAAATTGTATTGTGCATATTTTATTTGTAAATAGTTAAATAGTGGTAGATTCTTAGCAGTAGTGTAACAACAGAAGACAAGGGCCAGGCAACAGATCGTTTATTAAGGAAAATCAACACATATTTATAGATTTGAATGTACATTATTGTAGATTATTTTTAGTAGAAAATACAGTCTTTTGATTGGTTGTTTCTCACAGAAAGTTAACCTTACATCTCTTTGTGGCTGTGTCAGATCATCCATATGCTGTGTCCGCCTACGCAAAGCCTTTGTTCTCATTTTCTCACCACCAATATTGGGGCATTACTGCCTACCAACTTTGGCTAGCAGCCAGCTCTCTCTCACGCAGTGACATAATTTGTCGGCTTAAGGACCCTTTACATCCAATTAGAAAAATATTTCAGTTTAGCAGATGTCATTTAGTGTCTGTGTGGTCAATTATACGCAGTTAAACTGGTGGTTCATCATCAATTATATTATTTGGACGTATGAATTTAGTTAGAGCTATAATGACTAGCCCTATTAAGTTAAATAACCTCGAAAAAAGGTCGATCCAATGCATGCACCGGCATGTAATGACACAATCGGATAGGATACATTAAAACTGATAGGAAGTAATATGATTAGGCAGAGAGAGAGAGAGATTAATTACCCCATCTTCATTCATCGAATAAACACAACCGCAATCCAAATGATGCAAAGCCTGTACCGGAAATATCGAATATTGCAGAGAAAATATATGAGGGAGTGAAGCTATATAAAGTAAGTAGGGAGTTCGTGTTAATACACTGGTATGATTATAGGCAACAAATTATGTTCGGAATATTATTCACTTATTAATACTGTATCACTATGTATTATTTCAAATGAACTTGAAGCCATTTGAAGTCCTGTCTTCCCTGCTTCTTCAGCTAGCTTGTTAATTTTCGCCTGCAGATCTTCAAGTTTGTGTGATAGTAGATATAAATCATCCTCAGAGTCCAAGTATTCTTGAATCTTCTTGTTGTTCCAACGTATGCCTGCCTTGCCACAAGATCCATTCCACCACAATAAAGGATATCATCATTGATAGTAGTCAGAGTTGTCTTACTCCTGTCTTTATTTCAAAAACTTTGATTAGCTTCCCGTTGTGATTTACTTTGCATAAGTAATTTTCAAATAGCCGACAAATGAAGTTTTTATGTTTGAGGTGGTGCATCTCATAGTGTTGAAGCGGTTGCCAAATTAGTTCACGGTTGACGCTGCTGAAGACCTTTCCAAAAAAGGTGAGGCTGAGGTATGTAGCTTACTACCATTGTTGGTTGTGTTCGAGATGATGCGTGGTGTTGCATACTTGTCTGAGCATGGCTTATTTTTACTAAATTCAATTTGTTCGAGAAGAAATTCACCATCTGAGGCTTCCTTTCGATAAAATGTGGCTTAATATTCTGCTCGGGTTGAATAGATAGATGTATGGTGGCACGCCTTTTACTACATAGGCTTAAGTCGTCCTTCTCCGACATTTTGATGAAGTAGCTATCCTTTTATTTGATGGATATTTTTCACTCCCTCCAAGCCTATTATGGTCGTGACCTCAGCATGTCCAGTGGGGTCTGCAGGTCAGTTTTCACTGATTCTATGTGGATTCCATACGGTTTTCATCCTCCTTCTTAGTAACCATGCAGTCATAAAACCTTTGTTTTTGTTGAGGGATTTTTCCTGGACAAGAGGTAGGTTGCAGTCCTCTGAAGTGAACAGTTAAACCCACCTAAGTGGGAGGCTAAGCTGCTCTTAACACCACTCTAACTAGGGAAGTGAGAATGAAATGCTTACCCTTGTTCATGGGTGTATTTACTAATCATGGTAAAGCTACAATATGTAGATACACAATCAAACTACAACGTCACAACCACATTCTTGTTCTTTTGGAAATCCAGTTGTCTGCGGAGACTCCATTTGCAAAGATAAGAAAAATGATGGTTGGAGGTGAAACATCTGACTCCTAGTTGAATTCATTAATTTCTTTATACTTTACAATCTCTTCAGATATATTTATCCCCGATTCCAATAGGTTTCTAACATAGAATTGTGGGCTCTAACACCGGCCATTTTTCCTTGTAATCTGTTAGTCAGAATCTATAAATCTGTTATGGGATAGTGCTTTCGGAGCTTCTCAAAACTTCAAAGACTATTCCCCTATTTCAAAATTTCCTTTTTTATTTATTAACTCCATTTATTTAGAAAAACTGGAAACCCACATTGATGCATATTTGTGGGAGATTCTACCTCACTGAGTATTTTTGCGTTATTGTGATGTGAAGATTGAATAGACTTTCCAGTGTTAATTATCAGAAACCAATAATATACTGACTAATTTGTAGGAAAATTATAAGGATTTCCTACGAGTATTTAAATTAATTAGTTTATTGTCTTCACTTTTTCCAATTTTAATTATTCTACTTATTCTTCAATTGCTCTTACACAGATGTCATATTGATTGGAGACCAAATAAAAACATAATGGTGCAAAATTGCCTGAAAAAACATCAGAATAAACCCAAAATTGAGAACACTTATTCTTTCCCACAGTATCAGGTTTCAGCGGAGGGTGTGACAACTTCAACATCTTCATCTACATTATCATTAAACGATGAATCATTTTTCCAGTTTTTCAGTATTTCTAATCAAGGTAATAAATAAGTGGGGGTTGCCAATTAGATTCATTCTAAACAATTTTCAAGTTGCATTCTCTTAGTGACACACTATTAATTGTTAGTGCACATGAAAGCTTGAAGGATAATAAGGATAACAAAAATAGAAGTGATTTATGATCTTTGAGGTAAATGTATGATTTACTCACTTGTCAGTACAATGAAGCTCACTGGTCTCATATTTGTTTATGATTAGGCTATACAGCATAAAAATGAAAGCTAGAAGACATGATTAATAATGACTGCAATGTTATGAGAGTGTCTCAGTGTTTTTTCATCTTGAATGACTGTCTCTCTGGCGTCACTTAGTGTTGAAAACCGAAGTGAGAAGTACACCATTCCAGTTTTGCCTGACTAACATTGTTGGCTGAACCTGGTTTAGTGCGAGACATTTTAAAGTCTATAAATGACAATATAATTTATGTTTGCAAGTGTATATTGCTTAGTCAGTATTCTCAGGTTGTTGAGAATCAGTGCTCGATAACTCGTGACAAATCTGTGGGATGTTTTATTAATAAAGCATGTGTTCACTTTGTCTGCCTAGTGATCGTAATGTCTTCTTTAATCACATCTTGCACACACAGTTTTGTCAACCATCAAGCCATACAATTTCTGCCTACTTCTTATTGATACTCTATTAGAATGAAATCCAAACTGATTAGTTAGACGTATTTTGTAGATACGGATTTTAAAAATACATTTGTATGTAAAGTTCTACGGTGATGTGTTTCCTAATTTGAAGAACATAGAAACCTGTTGAAAAAAGTTACTGAGTATCATAATAAACCTTGTTAGAACACATGAAGTTGGGCAGAATACTAAGACGTGTTCAAATGATTTTATCTCTAAAAATATATTCTGAACATCATTTTTGTATCACCTCTGATATCGCTTCATAAAGCAGAAAAACACATTTTAGAAAAATTAAATAAATACACAGATATAGACATCTTATATTGAATATTTTAATGAAAATAGTAGTAGCCTTATTCAGGACTTTTTTCTCATCCATCGTACAGAATATTCATAGTATCTTGTTATATAACTTTAATGGAATTTTTTAAAACAAATAATGATAAGTTCGACAGTTTAAATATTAGCTGACATCAGGTAGAGGATCATTGGAAAACCTGCAGGGAGTACTAGACAGCTGTTCCATCAGCCCAGTTTGGGACTCTTCAGCAGCACACACTCACCGCCAGGATTCGAGCTCAAGACCTTCTGATTACAAGGCTAGCGAACTCATAGACCACTAAGCCACTGGGACCCAATCCAATGGCCAGCCCATGAATTCCAACTTCTACCAGTTCATGATATGGTGCGACCACTTCGCAGTGTCTTCTTCTATGAGTTACTACCACACGTTCAAACAGAAGGTCCTGGGTTCAAACACCGATGGATGAAGAGTCCCAAATAAGGCTGACGAAATAGCTGTCCAGTACTCCCTGCAGGTTTTCCAATGGTTCTCTACCTGATGTCAGCTGATGATGAAATCCTCCAACCAACCAAACAAAAATCCAACACGAGTATTTCTGGAACTTTGTTGCTTAAAGCCATACGTTCCATTCGGAATGCAAGATATGAAAATGTAGTGACTAATTTGTATTCTTATACCGAAAGCCAACTAGTTTTACAATTGCTGAGCGGTAATATAAGGGAATCTGACATAAGTGTGTGGCCAAAGGGTAGTTCGATAATATATATGTAGTAGTTCAGTTATTGATATCCACTGTACGACGTTTTGGACAAATTTTTATTGTTCATGGTCACTATAGATGTAATTTTAATACTTTAAACATGGTATCAATAGTTCTACTTGTTACTTTTGCTTTTTCTTAAGGACGGTTGAGTTCTCTAATAACAAAGAGAATTTATGATTTATCCAAACTCCTAGATTTATTTAGAAATGGCTTAAACTTTTACTGATTGCTGCAAAATGCAGCATAGATTAAGTGTTCAAATGTTAGGTTTGTGGGGATTTGATTGATTCCCAACGAATTTTGTCATGATTTGATGTTACAGCTAATGGTTCACAAACTGACATCGATTAATAGTAAAATCTGTCTTGATTGAATAAGTAATCTGAAATCAGACGAAATGAAAATACTGTTAGTTTTGAATATTAGAACAATACACTCATATACAAAATGGAAATGGCTATGAAGCTGTTACGTACAAGCCCTGTTTCACCCTATCACTTGTGTGCAGATATAAAGTGCTAATGGAAGAGGTCATTTCAGTAGTGCGCTTATGCTCAACTTAAGCGCTACTTAAGTTCCAAGTTAAAAATGTACAGCAAAAAATCGCAAGGATTTGTTTCGGGGTCACCAGTTTTCCTAGCTAAGATTGAGATATTCATGTGAAGCTGAAGAAAGGTGTTTGAACAAAGCGGAGCTACAGAGATATTCCGCATCATTTCCAATTACTTTAACTATCATAAAATTTAATAAACGACTTTTATTTCTTTCCGTTATTCCGTCTGATCAATTGGACACTTAGTGTCCTACAACCTTATGATTAGTTACTAAAGTATCTGAATATTTCGTATACTGATATTAAATTGTTTATGGGTGTATGTAATTGAAAAGAATCAACAAAATATAATGACGCCGTTTTATCCTGCTCCGTGTGTCCTTCTTGCTTTGTTTATGAACAAGAGATGTGTTTCAGAGAGAGTTGGTCAACCGACTAATATGTTAAATATGAGTGACATGTTCACAGTTTCGAAGACAGGACAAACGTAAGTTTCCAAACCAAACTTCACTCATACGTGCAGTTCACAAAAGATCAGGAAATTCTCATCAACATTTGAACTTCACCTCTTAACATCAATTTTAGCTTAGTTTGACTATTGTATTGGTCAGTTTAAATTACTGAATAGTTGATTGGAATAAAATGAAATCTTAATTGAGAAGTAAGACACATGAATTAATCTTTGTTACTCAGTTGTTAACCTTATGAACTTAGAAAAATAAGAATATAATAAGAATTAGCTGCAACATGAATACTAACTATGTATGTAACATTTGTAACACCAAGCTAAAGGAATTTAAAATATCCACTGTATTTCAATAAACAGAACAGTCTATGTGCGGGGACTAAAAATAACCCATAAAACAAAGTGACTTGGTTTATATACAGTCCTGTTAGATCCATGTGACGGGAAGTACACAGGCTCATGTAAATTATACTACAGTACTTGGAAGATATCGTGAAATGAATTTTAGCAGATGGTAATAAGAAAAGATATTTATCAAAAATCAATCTGTATTACTTCATGCAGCCACATATAACAGTTTAATAAGATGGGACATGTGAAATATCCTGAGATATATCCAGCGTAACTTTCCTCTGTTGATATGTTCTGATAATTCATTGTTGCATGACATTCAAACATGCAGTAAACAGAAAGTCAGCATACCGAATAATATGATTATTTAATCCTTGATTTCACTTTCAGTTGTTTTTATTAATTACTGAGAATAATTTGCGTACACTTCAGTTAAGTCTTGATAGTTACAAAAAGCATCTAGATATGAACAGATTGAAGAATTACACTTTCTGTCTCAATAAAATCCATTTCTTTTCCATCATAAATGGCTTCATTTAGTGACCAGTCAATTGCTACAGAGGTGAAATTAGCTAGTGACTGAGTTCTAAGCACTAAATAATCCTATAGCGTTCCTGACAGACTTGAGATAATCGTCTAAAATGCATAGGTGGATATGAACTACGTGTCAACTGAGTAACTGAACCAAAGAAATAATATGAAGTAAATTTAATGAATGCTTCTGTGGTATAGCAGTAGTATGATCGCTAGCAACGCATGTAGTTCGGAATTCTATCCCAGGCCGACTCATTCCAAAATCTCTACAAACCGGAAGTAAGACCGTTAAAGAGGGAAGATTGGGTGTGAGACCAGCAAACCTATCTTGTAAAATTAAAGAAACCACTGCTGTCAAAGCTTCAAAGTTCAAGCTTGAAGCCCTATTTTCCACTGAGGACTCAAATTTACTGAATAATGCTTGACGGAGTACTATATAGTCTAGTGATTTTAGCAGGCCTTAGTTTCGAGTGCATACTGATACTCAACCACTATTAGGGAGAAATTATATCATAGGAATACTAATACAGAAGAAATAATGACAAATAATCTAATAATAGTTATTATAAAATGTTTTTCCTATAAATCAATAGCAGTTTTTTGGACATTTCATTCAAGCGATTGTGATAATTTGTGTATACTCATTCACATACTTCCTAATTACATTATACAACGCACTAGTCTACTGTAGAAACGTTCATTCATTTGTATGGGTTGAACAAATTTAGTCACCTTTTAATTAACTACCTCTGACTACACTGTTTTTCGAGATAGAACCTCCTCGATAGGCTGATACTAATCAAATCTTAAAAAAGGATTAAATTATTAAAATCAGCAGGTAATCAGTTAGCTTTTGATGTCAGAGTAAATTGAAACAAATTTTACGATGTTAGTTACAATTATGAGATAGTATCTGTTTCTATGTCAGTTAATAGTGTCAATATATTACTAGCCAATGTTAAATGTAATGGTCACACGATGAATATGTTAAGAGATCATTAGTGAGCACTAAAGGCTGAAGTCCTAGCAGAATGAATAATATCCAGAACTTGATCTTTCATCATCCATCAGCTGAACTGACTTCATAAGGATATTTGTAATATTAAGCATTTTCAGCATTACAAAGAAACATCCCTTTTCAGTCTCTAGTTTTATCAAAGAGAACTTAAAGACCTTAGTAACATCACAGACACATTTGATTTTTACCTTCACTTTAATAAAATATTCACTCACCTAAAACGAGTGGATACAGACAGTTTATGGTCTAAGTCTACATGACTTCATCGAAAAGACTGTCCGGTATCTTCTGCATTGCATTTATTTAATGACTAATGTTAATGCTTTTTCAAAAGTGATTTCAAACTACTCATTTTCTCATAAACCTAGAACGTATTTGCGTTTTGGTTAGTTCATTGCTTTTTTAGGTATGCAGTGGTAAAAGTGAGTGAACTTTGACATCGGAACAACATCTCTAGATTTTATTTTGGGAATAAAATTTTGACGAATTTTAGGTTTCCCTTGAATGTCTTTTTTCTAAAAGTTTGAAGGTGAAAAATCGTCATATATATATATATATCTAACATTGTTTTCTTAATCAGGTGGACAACCTTTACCCGTTATACTTTAAAATAAAGTGCCAAAAATGGCTAATCTACTAGCTTTTTAACAAATCTGTAGAATTGGTCGACAGAATCTGATCACTTTTCAAGACTAGAAATAATGTTATTGGTTACTTTCTGCTGAGAAATCACTTTATGAAGCACAGTTCGGTAAAAACTGTTGTGCATTTGATGATGTGCTATCTTATTTCCTAGGTGATATCCCCAAGTCCCCAGTGCTTACTCTTCAAAAGTGCAAATCCAAACCAAGGTGGCGCGTGTGCTTGCATTCAGTAACTTTATATCACCATTTTACTCTAGATAAACTTTTTTCGTAATTAGAGTGGATGTTGTAAAATAAGTAATTTAATTTCAAAAACTTGTGATGACTTTAACTGTAAATTTCCCATGAAACTCATAAAGTGGATACGCTATATACTTCATCGTATCTTGTGACACAACTTGGGGACAGATACAACAAGTTTCGTACACTAAAACAAGGAATAAAATAATAATGTTAGATTTTTGAAGCGTCAAACTAACAATGTAAAACAAAAGAAATTGTGATAATGTGAACTATGTAAAAACCGTGGAGCAGGTTAGTACACTTATTTGTTCTCCGAAAACAGTAATGGATAGAGCAAAGATGGGAAAGCAGCAATAACAGGAAAGATATTTGAGTGAGTTAATAGTTTAAAGGAACAGTTATGCCCTGTTGAACCATTGCATTAATTAGTTTCAAATCAAAGCTTAGGCACTTATCATTTAGAAATCAGAAATAAATAAATAAATATACCCTAGAGCTACTGATCTACTGTTTAATTTCGAGTACCGAGGCGTGGATATTCACAGAAATTAAGTAACAGTGTTTCATCTAACAATATGTCAGCAGGCATGTAGCCCAACAGAGTAATATCGATAATCAGGACGAAGTTGTTGTACCTCAGTTGTTACTAATTATTTATCCGATTCATTAACTTGCAATGACAACAAAATGGACATTAAAATTCAATGCATTTACAGAATGCGGAAGATAAACAATGATTTACTTGACAGATAAATGCAAATAATCTTGTAGTAAAAAAGTGTTACAAAGAGTAACAAACCAATAATTACTACGATAATGTGATGATCAGTCTTATATGTTGTAATTATCCAACAAGCTATAAAGGCTGGCATGAATGGTTCTGCAGGTTCCAAAACACCAGAAAATAATTATGATCATAATGTGACTCTGTGTGAGCCTGAGGAGGAAGTCGGGTGTCTGAGGGATATGGATATGATGACCACTACGTCATCAATGCTGTTTTTGCTCTCTGGGGAGGCAGTAGGCAATGTGGGCTCAAAAATTATGCATCTCAACTTACTTTCTAAAGGTTTGTAGCCGGTGGTAAGGTCCTCTGGTCAGAAGAAACTTTACACACTCCATACCCAAAACAGATATGTGTAACGCTGCCTACCTTTGGTAAAGTAAAATATAGTGAGGCCAAACACACTTAAGGTCTAAAGTTAGGTTTCAATAGAAGCTGAGAACATCTAGAGAGTACTTAAAAAGATATTTTATTCCAGATAAGTGGATGACTTAAATTGGTTTTAAGAATATTTATTAATAAACAAAAGAATAAAGTATGGTACACTACATTATGCTTATCTAAGGGTCAGTTAGCCCTTGAAGCCTTTATAAATTACCTCTCGAATCGAAACGTTATCTTCAAGTTGACTGGATGATTGCATTCAGATAGATTATGTAGAAATTTCAATTTTTGAGAGATTTCCCGTCATCATTTTTTCTATTGAATTCCTAGATTCGACATTTGCTACCTCTTGTTTAATCGATATTTCAATGCCATTCTGCTGTTATATTAATGTATTGTGCACCTTGACGCCAGAGGTGTCATTGGTATATAAGTCATTAATTTTACTACAACTGTTCAGTAAGTGAGCACATTTCGCTTCCTGTGAAAAGTTATATATGACACCAATCAACCAAGTTAGTAGTTGGCTTATTGAAAAATTTGTCATTATTTCTACCACTCCATTGAATGACTTTTGAGCATGGCTTTTAGATGCATCTGAAGTCACTAATTTTGGACTAAAGATTTTGAGCTTTTAGGTTGATTACTTGAATTTAATTAATTTTAGGTTTGACCAAGTACTTGTAGTTTGACAACAGAGAGTTTCATCCACTGTTACATTTTTTTATCGTCGATTTAAATTCACTCTGGCAATATTCTCAAAAAAGGCATTCCACAACAATCAGTAATAATCCATTCAACGACAAAATAAGCCTTCTTTGAAGGAGAGTGAAAGAGAAGAAAATACAAATATGTATGAGTTTATGTCAGTACTTGAGAACAATACATGTCAACTAATATTAAATTAGTGGTTGGTCTTTGCAAAATACTTTAAAATTCATTACCTAATAGTTATTTCGTTTTTCGAAGAGATGAAAAAAGCGACTTAGTTATATTCTCATAACATCAATGTAGAAATATTTTTGGAAACCGAACAATGAAATTCGTTTCCGGGGTAAGAGTGACTGTTGTATTGGATGGTGTAGATCAGTTTGATCTTTCCCTGAATTCAAATATTCAACATAAGTATTTTTATTTGAGTATTTGTAATCTAGTTTTTTAGCCATTTCCGTTATTCCTTTGTTTGCGAAACTGACTTGAACACGCTATCATTATAACCCCCTGCAATGCCCAATTTATTCAAAAAGATTGGTAATAATCATATGTAGTGTAATAAAATTTTTGGTTTTATACCACATCAGAGATCATGCCTGTCAAAAATAAATGGGGAAGTATAATAATATAAGATAATCTGAGTTTCACAGTAATGTGTGAACTTTGCCGCCACATATCAATGTGATATAAGCTCTTCTTATACATTGCCAAAGTCAGTTCAGACCAAAATTACAATCAAAAGAATAAGCAAACTATCAATAAGCTACAAATTAAAAAAGTCATGATAGTAAACATTCACAACCGATTCATCAATACTGAAATCTACTGCATTTAGGTTACTTTTTCCGTATAATAAAGTTCATAAACAGCAAACGATTATTTAAATTTAATCGATTCGAACAAGACAAGAAGAAGAAACAGATTATTTATTTCGGGCAATTCTCATTTCTAGTTGATTGATTTATATTGAGCCTAAATGTTCGATCTCTTTTGACATGTCAACTCATTGTACAAACTCCTCTAAGATATCTGAAGATCAGCATAATGTCACTTGGTTGAGGATAACTGGCGGCAGAGTTCAGGATATTCATTTCGTCCTATTTGAGATTTGTCAACTAGGTGTGCCTGCATCCCCAGTTGCTGATGGTGTTCTTACTAAGACAGAGCATTTAGGCTCAATATAATCAGTCAGCGGAAGCCTAAACGAGTAAGGACTGATACCTGTTGTACAATAGGTAGTTCTTGTGGCCCAGTGGCCTAGTTGGTAATGCTTTAGAGTTGAAACGATGTGTGCTGGATTTGAGTTCCAATGAGAAAATAGTTACTCTCTGTGAATGTAGGGGTGTCCAGATAATGAATCGTAAACAAAAGATGAAACGCACTTCTTTTAATTGACTACTAATCACTATTAACAAAATAAGAGGAGATTGGGGATAAATTTTAAAGAGAAGTTTCACTTGCCATCTTTTCATGAAACTGTAGTGAAACTAATTAATAGCGGGCCGTTGAAACTCATGCAGCTAATATGTATATGTATGTACAGCACATGTTAGTAAACAACCATGTTATAAGCTACAATCATTTTTAATTGTTTCAAATTATTTTATTTGATTATTATTATTATCACTATTTTTCAGCTTTATCAGGAAAAGCAAGTGTAAGTAAATGCAGTATTATTATTTATGATGAATCAAATTTCTAAATAATTGAAGAAATTAGGCTTTTTCAGCTGTTGCAGGAAAAGTATAATTTGTAAATGTGTACATCTGAGGCGTTTGATATATAAATGAGCTGAAAACATTTCTGGTATCTTCCATAAAAGGTATAAATTTCCGAACTCACTAGATGACGTCCTTGTCTTTGCCATCACTGAATCCCGACCTTGGTTTCAGTGCTAACATTTAGATTGTCGTGGAACATTAATTATGTGAAACTGATGGATCTTCAGGGGAATACAATGGGCTTCCTGAATCAAATTCTCATTCATCGAGATAAATTCATTTTGATTTTTCAATGTTCATTGATTACTACATAGTGTGAAAGAATAGCTGTGTGCAAGGAACTGCTTTCATAACGTCATGAATTATTTCTACTCATTATTTGCTTCCAGAAATATCGTTGTATGAATAATAAGCATTAAACGAAAGCTAAATTAATTCTTTCGATTGTCAGTCAAACCATGTTGTTCAGAGTGTACTTCACGCTACTATTTGTTGGAATTTACTCCTAATGTTTTCAAAAAGTGTTGTCATAATATTTTTGATTTTTTGTTCTAGTTAATAAGAATGATAAACTGTCATGTTGAACTATTCATTGAATTACAAGTAGCTTAATGTTTATGCGGTTTTGAGTTAAAGGTACATGTAAGCAAATAAATCTCATTCATGAAAAGATATTGCTTATCCCAAAGTAATAAGTTTGCTTGCATGCTCAAATCCATTTAGTCCGAAAATTTGGTTAGCAGCTGAAAGTCATATATAGGTTTATGATCATTTAGAAGTCATATTGTCACTAAAACAGGCCCAGAAAACCCTCATTTATCAATTCGATAACGAGTCCATGAGGTAATAACTGGAAATAAAGCAAAACCAGGATGGTGTGTGACCTAAACCAATAGGTTTCAAGTTTTTGCTGACTACTTTGCAATCTGATCTATGATGCATTGTTGCCGTTACGATGTTAGTTTTAGTTCACAGATGGATGAAGTAAATCTGTGGGGAGTAAAACTTTTAAAATCAACACCAATTTATTTTGAATTTTTTAATGGTAATCTGACCTGTATTACGGTATGAACGTAAGCTAGTCATTTAACAATAATCCAGTATTTACCAAAGGAAATGTCACCACCAGATACGAAGAAGACAATGGTCTTAGGAAGAAAACTTCTGTTGTGTTAACAAAAACCTAAAAGTGGTTGAGAGAATTAATGTATATATATATATAATATATATATATAGGATGAGAACAATTATGAACTAAAGATTTTAGCAGCCAATACGACGATGCAGACATAACACTTACGAAATGCTGTAAAATATTATGAGAAAAAGTAACTTAGTAAAAGATTAGAGCATTTTATTAACTAGTTAGAATTGTGTATTCATCGTGAGCTAATTATTTTTTTTATTATTTAAAAAGGATCCTGCATTTGAACACAAGATATTGGAAGATTATGATATCGGTCAGTATTTAAAGGAACGTGTTATACCTCGTGCCGTTACATATTTTACTGGTGAAGCCTTGGAATCAGATGATGACAATGAGGATGTTGGTGCTGATGGTGGATATGATGACGTAAGAGGAATTCGTCTTTTCATCTTTATTTTAAAGTATCAGTTTTATTCATTAATTTAATAACTCTGCTTTCTTTTCGCTGTAAAGCTGGAAATCATAGTCACTGGCAGTAGATTCAGTAAGTTAGAAATATCGATGGTATTATTTTTATTATTATTCCCTTGCATTCCGAGTGGAACATAGGGCTTCAACAACACATCTCCACTTTGTTCTGTTTTCTAGAATCCTCTTCAGCTGGGTCCACTATTGACCAAACTCTCTCATCTCTTCCTCACACGATCTCCTCCATGTCACCCTCGCACTGACGACCCACTCGTCGCTCTCCGTTTGGATTCCACTCGAGGGCCTGGCGTGTGATGTCATTCGGTGGCCTCCTCAATGTATGACCGACCCATCTCCACTTTCTCCTATATATTTGTTGATCGATCGGTTCTTGGTTGGTTTGTTCATCTCCAGAGTTTCTTGTTGCTCATTCTTTCTGGCCATTTGATCCTCAGTATGGAGCCAGCGAAGGCAGCTGTTGATGAAAGTCTGCCACCAACTGTTGGAAACCCTTTTCGTGACTCCCACGCAGTGCAAGTTTCTGACCCGTATGGAAGAACCGACTTCACATTGGTGTTGAAAATCCGAACCTTGTTCCTTATGCTGGCTGAGTGCAGAAGATTTCCAAACTGGTTTCAGGTTGATGAAGGCGTATCTTGCCTTTCCGGTTCTGTCTGACTCTGAAATACTCTTTCGTATTGAGTCCTGTAGTTGAAACGATGCTTCCTAGATAAATGAAGGAGTCAACCTCTGTTAAATCTTTCCCGTTGATGGTGATTCGTGTTGGTTGTTGTTGTGGTGGTGGTCCATTGGTTATCTCCATCACCTCCGTCTTCTCTATGTTCACCTGCAGTCCTGTCTTCGCTGACAGCCTCTTCAGCCAGTTTGTTGGTTTTCGCCTGCAAGTCTTCGAGTTTGTGTGACATTAGACATATATCATCCACGCGTGAAATCCAGATCTTCTGGAGTCTTCTCATCGGTGATCCAGCGTACTCCTTACTCCTTGCCCTCAACAGTCTGACTCATAATCCAGTCCACCACAATTAAGAATATCATCGGTGATAATAGGCAGCCAGCTTGTCTTACTCCTGTATGCACTTCGAACGCTTCGGTGACTTGTCCGCTGTGCACCACTTGACACGTGGCATCGTTATATAGCCAGCCGCTGAATGAGGTTGATAAAGATTTGGGCACTGAATGCCGTAGTGCCGTCAACGCTGTCGAAGGCCTCCTCTAAGTCGATGAAGTTGAGGTGGAGTGAGGTTTGACTGACATCCTATGCTTTATTCTGTGATGACGATGCGTAGAGTTGCAATTTGATCGGCACATAGTTTGCCTTTTCTGAATCCAGCTTGTTCCGGTTGGCGGAATTCTGTACCCAGTGCATCCTTTATTCTCTCCAGGATGATGAGATTTAGTATCTTACTTGGCGTGGACAAGAGCATGATTCCACGCCAGTTCTTGCAGAGGTGAGCGTAAGTGACCTGTCTTTGGCAGTTTGACGAGGTAGCCTGCGACCCTTCCAATCAGTAGGCACCTTTCCTTTTTCTCAAACGTTTTGCAGTAATGGATTGAGAGCATATGCCGTAACCGCTGTGGCCGTCTTCTGTGCTTAGGGAGGAATGCCGTCTGGTCCTGCTGGCTTTTCGAACGGACTTCAGTAGCTTGATCGCATTCAGGATTTCTTCTTTCATTGGAGGAGTGGTGTCCACTGACAGGTATTTCCGTGTGTGTTGTTGTTGGTATTCCTGAACGATTTGCAGGTGATGGTCGATTTAAGAGTCCTTCAAGGTGATCGGCCCATTGTTTGATTTGTTTCTTCTCCTTGGCGATCAGGTTCCCTTGAGCATCTTTCATTGGTTTCATCATCTGGGTTGATCCCTCCCCGGATAGAGACTTGGTTGTCTGATATAGTGTCCTGATGTCTCTATTGCTTGCGCCCTGCCTGTTCTGCTTCAGCTGACAGTGTGTCGTAGAAGTGTTGTTTGTCTTTCCTAGCACTCTTCTTCACTGCTTTATTCAGTGAAGTGTACATTGAACTCAGCCTCTCCTTCTGTTGTGCATCTTTGCATTGAGTCAGTTTCTCTTTCACCATCCTCCTCTCCTCGACTAGCTTTCAGGTATCCGTTGACAGCCATTCCTTGTCTTGTCTCTTCTTTCTTACTGGAACATTTGTACACGTTTCCTTGGACATCAACTACAGAGAGTTTCACACATTCATCCACCTGAAACCAATCTGGAAATCTTCGCCACTCAGCATCAAAAACAAAATTCGGATTTTCAATACAAACGTCAAGTCAGTTCTTCTATACGGATCAGAAACTTGGCAGGTCACAAAGAATATTTCCAACAGCCTGTTGCACACCTTTATCAACAACTGTCTTCGCTCTATACTGAAGATCAGATGGCCGGAAAGAATCACCAACAAAAAACTATGGGAACAAACAAAACAAGAACCAATAGCTCAACAAATATGCAGGAGAAAGTGGAGATGGATTGGACACTCGCTGAGGAGGCCGTTGGGTGACATCGCGTGTGGAACCTCGAGTGGAACTTGAAAGGGAAGCGGTGAGTGGGACGTCCAAGGGTGACGTGGAAGAGATCTTGTGAAGAAGAGACGAAAGAGTATAGATTAACATGGATACAAGTGAAAAGTACAGCACAAGACAGAAGGAAGTGGAGGCGTGCAGTTGAAGCCGTATGTTCCACTAGGAACCCAAGGGAACAATATTAAAAATAATAATAAAGAAATCTTTCAAAACCATAATTCCTTAAGTCCTTCTGTCTTTTTATTTTGTAATGTCTATTTTTTTGTAATTTAAACTGCGACATTCATCTGTTCAAACGTTGACAAATGAATGAAGGGGTTTCTGATAACGAACAATAGTATACAGCGAATTATCACATAATTTACGTTGTTGTTCAAATATTTATTTAAATCAAACTTTTTTACTTTTGTTCGAAATAACTACATGTGTCAGAAACAACTTACTTTAATCCAGTGTAGGTTATTTTCATAGGTAAATTAAACACACTCCTGACAAAAAGTAAGGAAATTCAGTGCGCTCTCAATGATCGTGTTCCTATTTTCAATACGTCTCTCTTCGTCTTCTTTCTTCTCTGAAACTTGATTGGTGATTCCTTTGTTTGTAACAAAGATTTTGAATTTACTATGATGACATGTATGACAATGGAAGAAATAACTTACTGAGACTTGTTAACATGTTTTAAATCTTGTGGTAGTACTTGGAATTGGGACGCTGCAATGGATACTAAATGGTGTTATTAATATTCTCAAATAAAATTTTCCAACCATCGAAGTTCTGCGTCCATATTCATCTTATGCTACTTTACGTATTTGTCTTATGCAGTACCACTCTCTTCCTAATGTTTATATGTAATTTGTATAGATCCACAGCTTTATACACCTTTTTGATACACCTACTGTAAAACAAGATCGTTAAGTATCACTGATAATCAACTTAGTTGTGCTGGACTGCAACGTTGCGCAGATAGTGGGGAGTGAGGAGACAGGCATACGCTATGCTTGAAAAATAACCTTAGAAGTTCTGGAATTAACTTAAGATTTATCTCTAAGGTCAGATTAAAGAGTTACAATTATTACGAAAACCTCGTCATAACCAGCAGTCACTTCTGGTTTAACTAGTTTCTCACAACTAACATTAGTCTGCAACATATTTTGCGAGAAATGCGCAGTTATTGATCGCTAAATTCGCATTTAATTGTCAAGTTAGTCATTAAAAAATTAAAATCCTTTTTTCTTTATTTCAGATTGATGAAGATGATGACTTTGAAGTAAGGGAAATGTTAAACGAGATTCATTGGACGAATATTTTGAACTAGTCATTTGTACTACTTAGAAGAAATATTTTGATGTTAAAATCTCTGTAGACTGCATGGCAGATTGAAGATGAAATTAAAATTTGAATCACATCGGGATTAGATCAAGTTTTCCAAATGTTATCTATATGTTACACTGACTAAATTTTGAAACTTAGGTGTTATCTAGGTCTTAATTTTTATCCCGGATATGTTTAGCGAATTAGCAACCAACATACGAGATAGGAATGACATAACACTAATGTCAGATATGTTTACTTCCATTCCTTGTATCTCAAAGTGGAAAACAGGGCTTCAAATTTCGAAGTTATAGTAGCAGCAAAATTGTTTTTATGTAGGGAAGTTGCTAGCCTCGGACTCAAAACTTCCTACATTTTCAGGCTTACTATCACTCAATAATCCATGTAAGATTGAGGAGAATGTAGAATGGAAAACTGTATTAAAGCACCAAAGAGCAGAAATATTAAATGAAACGTTCGGAAGTTGTGTACATAAACTGAAATGATTATGAATTCTAAATTATGATAAAAATGGCATTATTCATACTTATGTAACCCATTCCAGAGGAGCAGTTAAACTGGTAGATACACATGAAAGAGGTGAAATCGGGCAGTTTATCTTTCACTCCAGAACACAAAATTGGGGTGGTTTTGGAGAAACAGCGTAATTCAGTTGCAGGGAATGCTCTTTTTACCGCATTCCTAAGCCATCGTGTTAGCATCTCGTTGATGTTATACTTGAGGACTGAATTTGTAAGAATAAAGCCTTTCTAGGAACTGTTGGCGCCTTGAGCTGCCTTGATTTTTGATTCATATTCTTATCAATGAATTTTTCTGGATAACCGTTTTCACTCAGTAACTGTTTAATAATATTAAGTTTTTCATTATGACATTCATCAGAGCAGATTACTCTTGCTTTATGGACCAAGCACTCTATCAGATTGCGTTTGTATTTCAAGGGCACAAAGCTGAAAAAATGAGTATACTGACCAGTTGATGTAGGTTTTCTATATACACTTCTTCTTATTGTGCCATTCTCTTTTCTGCTCATAAGGACGTCTAAAAATGAAATACTAGTCTTTTTCTTTCAAGTATTGGTTTTGTAGGGATTTTTGTCTGATTGCATGGAGGATTTCATCATGAGCTGACATCAGTTAGAGAACCACTGGTAAACTTGGGAGTACCGGATGGCTGTTTCGTCCTAGTTTGGCACTCTTCATCAGTACGCACCCACCGGGGTTCGAACGCAAAACCTTCTGGTTAAAAGGCGAGCTCGTAGACCATTGAGCCAATGGGACCCGGTCCAATGGTAAAATTTATTGTGAAATTTGTCCAGGATGTTCTTTGCCTCATCCTCATATAAATGGCAATAAATTTGCTGAAGGGATTTCGTCTGACTTGGAGCATCCACTTCACCCTCAGCTTTCACCTTGCATCTCTTCATGAAGAACAAGAAGTAACTTCAGAAAACTGTATACTTGCACGTCTAAGTATAAAAATTCTATGATACCATACTTGGCACGTATTTTGATGTTATGAATATAGTGTCAGGCAAGAACTCACTAACCTTTTTTCATCTAGTAAATAAAAAATTTCCTCCATCCATCCTTATAAAACTTCAAGTTTTACTTATTCACTAATGTAGCAATTTTGGAAAAAGTAGACTTTGTATGCGAAGAACTCATAAGACGAAACATTCATGTCGGCATTCCTGTATCTTTTATAAAAGAGCTTCTCTTGAAATGCACAGTGTATGTTCACTTTTTATTTAATAAGGAACTATACAGACAAATCGATGGTGTGGCACTAGGGTCACCACTAGGACCCATTTTAGCTGACATTTTCCTTGCGAAACTAGAGAATGGGCCTTTGAAAGATGTACTTGATGAATTTGAAATCTACTGTCGATACATGGATGATAAATTTTTGATTATGAAAAATAAGGATGAAGCAAAGAACATCCTGGACAAATTTCACAATGTTCATCCTGCAATAAATTTTACCACTGAGAAAGAAAAAGACTAGTATTTCATTTTTAGACGTCCTTATGAGCAGAAAAGAGAATGGCACAATAAGAAGAAGTGTATATAGAAAACCTACATCAACTGGTCAGTATACTCATTTTTTCAGCTTTGTGCCCTTGAAATACAAACGCAATCTGATAGAGTGCTTGGTCCATAAAGCAAGAGTAATCTGCTCTGATGAATGTCATAATGAAAAACTTAATATTATTAAACAGTTACTGAGTGAAAACGGTTATCCAGAAAAATTCATTGATAAGAATATGAATCAAAAATCAAGGCAGCTCAAGGCGCCAACAGTTCCTAGAAAGGCTTTATTCTTACAAATTCAGTCCTCAAGTATAACATCAACGAGATGCTAACACGATGGCTTAGGAATGCGGTAAAAAGAGCATTCCCTGCAACTGAATTACGCTGTTTCTCCAAAACCACCCCAATTTTGTGTTCTGGAGTGAAAGATAAACTGCCCGATTTCACCTCTTTCATGTGTATCTACCAATGTAACTGCTTCTGTGTAGCCAGTTACCTAGGTTTTACTATTAGACGTGTTTCTTGTCGGATTTGCGAACATCAAATTGCAAAATGGCTAAGTAAGTAACAAACGAAATACATTTGTAGAGCTATTCTATATCATCATGTGGATACGGAGCAGAAGATTGATGTCAGCGAGGCTTTAAAATTCATTGATCGCATACCAACAAATTTTCACTTCGCCTTAAGATTTCGTCTACTAAATATTGCTGAGGCTGTTGAGATCCCCACTAAGAAGCCTAATTTATGCGTCTAAAAAAGCTAGTTCAGACATTATCCTTACCTTAGTCACCTAGGTTCGAACAATCCTCAATTTTTCGTAGAAATTTCCTCAATTTTAGTTGATATTCTATTTTCCATTATATTTGTTTTATTAATATAATTTAATCATCTTCAATGAAATGTAATTCCATTGATCTTACTTAACAAAACTACCACAGTGCCCAAGTTTTATACTTATATTAACAAATCAGTATTATTTAAAAAACACCGATGTTGTTACGGTCTACTATTCTAGAATATTCTGTGTAGATAAACATGTATATATAATTGTAGAGCCAGAAGAGGAAATTATCGAAAAGGATATTCTTCACTCAATTATTTTGTTTTTTATATATGTCCGAATGAGAATTTTCGGTATATTTAAATCTGTTCTATTTTAATACATTTGTTAATTGGGGCTTGTTTTAGGTTTTAAGGAATTCTCTGAAACTCTTCGTGTTTAAGATTTCTAAATTTTTCCATATTAATTGTCGTCCATACTTATCTGCCTGCGTTGCTATTGATGAATAAGTGTGGGGCCTACTGACTGCTATTGTATGTTAATAGATGTGAAGATGAAGTGTTTTTCTGTTTTCCACATATAAAATGTTTTTGCACTTGTGGTTTATTTGATAGGATGATTTCCTTCTGATTCTTGTTCGCTTATAAATTCGATATTATTGAAGATGCTGTTGATTGAGCTGCATGTGAATGACTTCAACTCCCCAGAGATATTACATGCATCCAAAGACTGAAGTTTTCGGGTTATGGTCAGTAAACCTTGTATAAAAGTTCGGAAAAGAGTTAGCGTCAATGTTTTAATATACAAGGAACGGTGTTTTGTTGGCTTCAGCCATCACTGATAGTTACAGATTTTGGAAAAGGTGAAGATACTACATAGTGAAAAGTATTAGTAGAAATGGGAACTCAAGTAGACAAAGTGAGAAGGTAAGGAACATAAACGTTTTGTGCTCACGGAAGCACGTTGCGAACACTACTTCATTGTAACCGCGGAAAATAGTTTTGTTTTCAAGTAAGTGAAAGAGATAAGACATTCGTGATGTATGATGGCGTACTCTAGAGGACAAATGCTCGGAAAACTTGAGATAACATGGTAATCAATTTTAGTTTTAATGCTATTAGTCTAGAATGTTAAGGTCTGCAAATAATTTGTTTCAGCTTGTATAACTGGTTTCGTCTTTGTAATTTGCAAATTCCACATTCGCAGTAAAGTAGCAGCTACTTGTCAAAATTAGTGGTTTATCTATTAGAAGTGACCAAATTAATAATCACCAGTGTCTTACATTTCAACTAGTGAAACTGTAGTGCGATGATACGCTCATTGCTGGGAGTGTGACAGCTAATTTTGTGCCGAAATCTAACATTCGACTGGAGGTACAGTGTGTTTTTTAAATCTATGCTTTGAGTTATCATCGGATGTGTCCATTACACATGAAACTCTGACATTTAAAATAAATATTTATGATATATTTGCTTTAAATAGGCAGAAGAATATCAAGAAGTATCGGAACAAAGAACTCGTGAAAATGATGTATAAAGAGACAATGTTGTTTGAATTTGTTGTTCTTGTTACTGACCGTTCATTACAAAAATCTTATAATTAATTATATATACGAGGATAGAAATAAAGTTTTCATTAAATTAACCTAAATGGACACTTATTTTTATATGAACAGCAAAGTACTCACCCATTATTTAATTTAATTTTTGTTTAAAAACCTCTTTATACAAATCGACTGTACAACAGTAACTGCTCCACCTAGTCAACATTAAATATTAATCTGTCATTTAGTTAAGTGATATGACAATATGGCGTATTTTAGAAGTAAGCCTACCGGAAGTTCTGGGCTCAAGGAACGACTTATTATGTATATGAAAGAAGCATAGTTTGAATACCTTGATGGTAAGGTTTGTCAATAGCTGTGAGGGATGTTTTATAAAGCTTATAAATACGCTTCGTTGAATAGTATAATCAAATAAAAGTATGAGTTCACTCTTATCGGCTCCTAAATCCCAAGACGCAGTATTAGAATCCTCATATTTATTTTTACTCAGTAAATATTTAGTCTGTAATAGATACGGAGGCGTGTTTATATTCATGATTCTAAACAGAACTAATGAAACCCATGGTACAAAGTGTCAATTAAATCAAAGCTTAAATTAAGTTGTT